CCTTATAGATCGTTGTTATCACCGACAGAGTACTAGAAGTAGAAAAAGCTCAAGGTTGTCTCTCCAAGCCAACAAGCACAAGGTTGTTTCTCCTAAGACTTTAACAAACCGAAAAGCCAATAATTCCAGAAAGATATCTTCGATTAGCACCAATTAAAGATACAAGTAAAAATATTTAATCTATGAATTGTTTAATATGTAAAAATTCAATTTTATGTAAACACCATAATATGTAAAATTTCAATTTTATGAGATACAAGTAAATTGAGCAAAAGCTCCACCCAGCTCACAAATGCCTAGCACAAATCAACTATCACACAATAAAATAAATGAATTATTTCAAAACAATCGAAAGAGGCAAGCTCCAGACTAGCAACTACAGAGCAGAAAAACTATGATCCATTAGATTGCCCAGCGATGCTCCAAAACAAAGATTACAACAAAAAGGATTTCCAAAATCCAAATAATGGCCAGAAACAAGAAAAACACTTTGAACCAGAACAAGCTAACAAATAAAAAAAGAAACTAAATTTCAAAATCCAGAATTCTTACAAAAAGCTATTATTAAAAGTAGTAAAATAATGTACTGTTAAAGATACCTTAAAAAAACCACGTGAACGAAAATGGCGGATGGAGAACCGCGCAAACAAAAATGGCGGAGGGAGGCCTGACACGAACGAAAATGGTGGAGGGAGAACGGACGCGAACGAAAATGGCGGAAGGACGGTGGAAGAAGAAGATGACGGCGGCAGTTTAAAGGTTTAAGGAAGAAGAAGAAAAATAGGGACGTTTGAGGAAATGAAGCGAAGAAGAAGAATGTTGGATTTTGGGATTTTGAGAATGTTATGTTTACGGGTAGGGTTTGGACTTTTAAGGCACTTATTACATCGGTTGGTCACATGGACCGATGTAAAATGTACTCTTAATTTTTTTTAATGAGGCACTTTTTACATCAGGTTAGCAACAAGGACCGATGTAAAATATTTATTATATATATTTTATTTAATTTTTTACTGAAGTACTTATTACATCGGTTGGTCACATGGACCGATGTAAAATGTACTCTTAATTTTTTTTTAATGAGGCACTTTTTACATCGGGTTAGCAATAAGGACCGATGTAAAATATTTATTATATATATTTTATTTAATTTTTTTTGTTGAAGTGAACTTTTTACATCGGTTGGGCAACATGACCCGATGTAAAATGCTTAATTAATATATATATATATATTTTTTATTGAAGTACTTTTTACATCGGTTCGGTTAAACAGACCGATGTAAAATCCTTTATAACAAACTTTCTTATTATTTATGAAACTGTCACCATGTTACTTTTTACATCGGTTGGTGTAAAAGGCCCGATGTAAAATGTTTAACCCATTTTATTTATTTTTTATTGAAAACTTTTTACATTGGTTGGGTTAAATGGCCTGATGTAAAATCCTTTATAACAAAATTTCTTATTATTTATGATATTGCCACCGCGCTATTTTTCACATCAGTGGAAATATATGTCTGATGTAAAATCATTAAATCAAATATTTTTCACATCATATTGTTAATAAATCTGATGTAAAATCCTTTGACAAATATTTTTCACATCATATATCTTAAAATCTGATGTAAAATCATTTAACCAAATGTCTTATTTTTAGTAGTGCTTAAAAATGTATATTTTTTTAAAATTATAACTGAATTTAATTTTAAATATACTAAAATAAAATATTATAATTAATTATTTATTTAAATACTAAAATATTTTTTATAATTAAAACTATATTTAATTAACAAATAAAATAACAACAATAATACAAATAAAATATTAATTAAAAAAATATTTATTTATTTATGTAATGAAAATAAAATTACACTAAACCCCCATTTAACTTTGATTTTGACCAGGTCGTTGAAAGCAGTGGTGGATTCCACATGCAGGAGCTTGTCCAATTTGCGTAGACTTTCTGTGATTCTCACCAACATTTGATGGTTGAGTAGAAGGCCCCGTGTCATTTTTATGATCAATGAATTCAGTGACCATGTCACCTGTTAATAAGCCCATCTCCGTCACACTGCCATAACTTAACCTGGTTCCCTCATTATGCCATATTGTTTGGGTAGTAGTTGACATTGAGCTATGCAAAAAGGGGACGGAAGGTTGTTGGTCTTGGGATGAATTCAGGGTGAATGTTTGTGACTAGTAAAAAGGTATTTGTGGTTGGGGTGTTTGGTAGTTGTGTTCTCGTGGAATTGTGTGAATGAGCATTGGTTATAGTGGGCGGTGGGTGGTGTTTGTGGTAGGGTGTATGATGTTGAGGGGGTAAAAATTAAGTTTTATTGTTGGGTGTTATAGGGGGTTGGGTTAAATGATGGGTATTTTTTATGGTAGTGTTGGCTTGGGGTATACATTGTTGGGTTAGATTGAAAGGTTGTTGGGTGTTACATATAGGTTGTTGGGTGTAGGTGCTTGTTGATGGTCTGGTGTGTTGGAAGTTTGAAGATGAGGGTTGGTTACGAGGGAAAATTATAATTTATTTTGTGATAGATGCAAATTTGACACAATTCTATACCAATTCATGTATTCCTTACTCGATTTACATTCATTTGACATGATATCTCTTTGTAAGATAGTTTAGATGATTTTTCCATTGATGATACTCTTGTTTATAACGGTCTTTCCAATTTGTAAATTTCCATTGGTTTGACGTTTGACTTGTGCGGTACTGCTCTATGGACCTAGGTGTAATAAGAATTTATTGTTGAATTCTAAATTAGAGTTTAACCCTATCTGAATGCATCATTTCAACAGTAGTGAAATAGATTAAAAGAGTTGTTGAACTCCACATGTGACTTTCAGTTCAGTCCTCATCTTCAAGTATAAGATATGGCCTCCATACAAACTGTTACATAAATTCAAATGATTAGCTAAAAAATTATAAATAAAATTTAAATATTATTAGTTTATTCTTAAAGATAATACGTCATTTACCTTGAAATGATCGAAGGACGTATTATATCCAACAACACAATGGCAAGGCATTTTTTTCGTAATTCATCCCATACGCAGACCACCTAAAAAGAAATAGTTATTAGAAAATACTTAGGAAAAACATTTCTAAAAAAATAATTTGTTTTATACATACTTGGTTGCATATGGAAAGTGGAATGCATTGGAATTCCTTGGTGACAGTCTCGACATTCTGGACCAACCCCAAGCTTAAAGTAAAACTCTCAATCTTGAAATAACAAAGATTATCTTATATGATATGAGTAGTAGAAATAATTGTGTGTCATTTTGGAGTGGTTAAGGAAGGTATTTATAGGAGATTTGAGAGGGATCATTTTTTTGGTAGAAATATTTAATGGGATATGAATGATATTGGTGAAGAGATAAACTCCATGCATGCTTGTGTAGATGGAAATCTCGCATGCAACACTGATTCAGGAACGAACCTCCGTTAGGTGATTGTTTGTAATGCTAGTGAAACCCGCTAAAGCAAATGGTGGTCCCTTTTCTTTTTGACTGACGACTGGACCTGCAGTAGGCGACCCCTTCTACAACCTATGTGATTTGAGTAGACACATGCATGTTGACCATACTTGCAATGGGCGGTTGTTTATAAATGGCTGACGACCGAACCTGCATTGGGCGAGAGTGTTTTGTTTTAATTTTTGACCATTTGAGCAAGAATCCAACATGTGGATTATGTCACCTTCATGGTCAGAATCAAACTCGGTGCACACGTATTAGAACAGAAATAGACACGACTGATAAGTTAGAGAGATAATATGGATTGTGTCGTCTTCTTGGTCACAATCGAACTCGTTGTCCCAATGTTGAAACTAACAATAATTAAGTTTTTATTTTGTTGTGAAATATCACTTTCAAATTACCATCAACTGCTAATTAAATATTTATGTCGTCGTTAAATGACGTTTTTTTGAATTCAAAGATCTTTCGCATTTAATGTTATATAAAAAAATAAACAACACTTAACACCATAAATTACCATCTCAAAAAACAACACAAACAACAAATAAAAACACTCCACACCACAACATTTATAAGGGATTACAACAATCAAAACAATATCACCAACTTCAGACATCATTGTCATCTTTAACTCGCACCCACATACGTTGGATATCATTGTTGTCTTATGCATTAGAGATGTATGAAACAAGTCTCTCAATACTTCTAATTCTTTCACTGTCATTAACTCACCGTCTAACCAACCAATCAAGTTCCTCTCTAGTTGCTCGAAACTTTTGATGTTCTAAAAAAGCATCTTTATTGGAGGTTTGACACTAGAATAAATAACATGCACGTAGCGGCGATTCATGTTAGAAAAAATGGACAACGTTGAAAACTAGAAGAAATTGAGAAGGGATGTGGAAAAACGAATCACATCTCACCTATATTTTTATTAGATTCGCCACATGGAACCGCCAAAATAATTGGTGAATCCAATATAAATAAATTAAAACAATTGCCAACTGCAGTTCGACTCTGTACTTAAATAATAAAAAAATAAAAAAAAACAACCTATAATTGAATTTTCGGCTCTATACTTAAATAATAAAAAACAAAAAGCAACCTTCAGTTGCAGTTCCAACTCCGTACTTAAACTATAAAAGATAAAGACCAGCCGCCAATTACAGTTCTAGCTTTGTACTTAAATAATAAAATATAAAAGGCAACTGCCAATTGCAGTTCAAGCTCTATACTTAAATAATAATAAATAAAAACTGCCAATTGTAGTTTTGAACATGTACTTATATAATAAAAAAATAAAAAGCAACGGCCAATTGCAGTTTTACACTTGTACATATAAATAAATTTAAATGATTTATTATTTTATTATAATTTTAAAAAATAATTAGTATACATTTATAATTAATTTTAATATTTATTTTAAATATATTATTAAATATATATTCATTATTAATATTAAATATATTAGTATATTTTCGATTAGAAATAGAAAAGAAAAAACATTTATGACGCGTGGGAGGGGAAGGGGACGAGGGCAACCCTCTTGCACGGTACCCCCATCACCGGTAGTCTCTGCGGCGGTCACGAAAAATCTTGGTGATTCTGATCAAGTAGATCATGTGGAAGTTACGGAAATTAGCGATTCGCAAGATGAGATAAGCCAATCTGATGAGGAAGAAGTGAAAGAACTCAATCACGAAGCCCTAAATTCACCTGTTAATGATCGAATTGAAAGCTATTAAGAGAAGAAGAAGCTATGGGTGGATGTAATCAATGAAAATCGTAATCCTGCTAAGGGTTTAACCATGAAGTTTGTGGCACATAAGGTGGTGAATGGAGAAATGGAAATCGAGATTGAAGAGGTGGACATTGAATTTGAGGTCAAGTTCTAGGAAGCACTAATCATGTACGTTCTGGGTGATGACTTAAGCATGAATTCGGCTAAGCAATTCATGATGAAGAATTGGAATTTTATGCAATTATCGGACCTATTTTACAACGATAAGGGTTACTTCATTATGAGATTCCATTTTTTCTTGAGAAGGATTCTATGCTGATGAAGGGACCCTACACAATCTATAGCAGGCCTATGTTGTTGCGTGAGTGGAAGCCGAATTTTTGTATGAAACGAGATATGTTGCGAACAATTCCTATGTGGGTGAAACTTCCCCAAATGCCTCTACACTTATGGGGAGCCAAAATTTTAAGAAAAATTGGGAGTGTTATTGGTACACCTTTGGTAATTGATGAATGCACGACGAATAAACTTCGAGTTTCTTATGCGCGCATTCTTGTTGAGGTGGACATTACGCAAGAGTTAAAGAAGGAAATCATTATCCATGATGTTGTGGACACGAAGAAGCCAACCCATTGAATATGAATGAAAGCATTTGTATTGCGCAAAATGTTAGAAAGTTGGGTATAATTATGAAAGACCTAGGAAACCTGTTAGAGAATGGAGGCCTAAAGTTGATGAGGCTAAAGCTCTGGTTAAGGAAATTCCTGTAGAAGTGAATGAGAACAAGGAAGTGGTCAATGGAACTGAGGCAAGTGACAACAACATGGAATGAACCAAAGTTACAAATAGTATAAGAGACAAAGGCAAGGGTGTGGTGCATGAAGGGACCTCTATATAATGTTAAAATGGATTTGGACTACTAGGGATTTTAAGTGATCCTCTAGTATGTCAAAACCCTGTCCCATGATAGTGTCATGGAATGTGAGGGGGCTCAATAAAGTGGTTAAGATCAAAGAGGTAAGCTTCCATCCTTCTTAGTCTTAAACCCAAGATTGTTGTTTTGATTGAAACCAGGGATAAAAAGGAAAAAGATGATAATATTAGGAGGAAACTTCACCTAAAGGCATTTTTATAGATAGCTATCTGAATCACTTGAATGGCATATTATGGATATGGTGGGATCACAAGCAAGTGGAGGTTAGATAAGTGTTTAGATATGTGCAATACATACATTATCTAATTATGTTCTGCATGGGAATTTCATGTTCTGATTCACTGCTATCTATGGCCTCAATCAACTAGAACAGAGGAAAAAGTTATGGAAGGAGCTGGAGCAAATTCATTTTTCCCAACAAGGTCCTTGCTTTCTAATTGGAGATTTTAATAATGTGTTAAAATATATGGATAAAATGGGTGAAAATATGGTGCAACAAAAGGAATATCATGACCTTCTATCTATGATGAATAGAATTGATTTAAATAAAATGGACAGCTCTGATGACTATTTCAGTTGGTCTAATAAGCATAGTGATAATGTCATTTACACTAGGATTGATCATGCCCTTGCCAATGTAGAGTGGTATCAAAAGTACCTGAATGCTACTCTGAATATCCTGGCCCCTGGCATATCTGACCATTCTTTACTACTGATCAAGAATCCTGATATTATAAGGAAGACTAGACACTATTAATTTTAGTTCTTGAGTATTGTGGTTGAGGTTCCTAATTTCGTTGATGAGACAACAAATAGTTGGAGGATCCCAATCCAAGGCATGCCTATGTATGTTCTTTGGAGAAAGCTTCTTAGAGTCCAATATACTATTATGCATTTTAGCAAACATATTCTTGGTGCTTCTGTGTCCTTGAAGAAGGCTAAAGAGCTCCTCATTGAGAACCAAGAGATTTTATGCATGATAGGGAGAACACTTACCAGATTCAGAAGGTGAAAGACTGCACTACTGAGGTGTTCAAGTGGAGTGAGATTGAGGAGCAAAACCTCAGGCAGAGATCCAAGGTTGATTGGCTCAGATTTGGTGATGGTAATAATAGTTATTTCCATGCTCAGGTAAAGGATAAACATGGGCGGTGTGAGATGACTACCCTTAGCAAATAGGATGGCACCATTCTAACTCATCATGATGATATTGAGAAGGAGATTATGGATTTTTATGGCAATCTTTTGGGGAAAGCTAATGAGAATCTTGTTGGTATAGACATTGTGACTATGAGAAAGGGCCCCCAGTTAGGTATTGATCAGAGGTTAATGCTTGATATGCCAATGTCAGAAGCTAAAATTGTGCTTGCTCTTAAGGGTATTGGTGACCTTAAAGCTTCAAGTGTGGATGGGTTTGGTGCTAAGTTTTTCAAAGCTTCTTGGAACCTTATAAAGCATGATGTAGTTGTTGCTGTCTTGGAATTCTTCCAGCACAAGAGAATGTATCCTGCTATAAACACTACCCTTGTATCCCTTATCCCTAAGGGCAATGCAGGCAAGAAAATTAGAGATTTCAGGCCCATTTTATGTTGTATTACTGTCTATAAAATCATTTCTAAGATCTTGACTAATAGGATGAGTAAGATCATGACCTACATCATTAGCCAAAGCCAGGCTACATCTGTGCCTGGCCAATGTATTCACGACCATGTGTTGTTGACTTATGAGTTAATTCGTGGTTATAGCAGGTGGGGTGGTACTCCAAAATGCATGTTCCAGTTGGACATTTAAAAGGCGTATGATACTATAGATTGCTTTTCTTTGGAGAGTATTCTCAAGGAGATTAGGTTCCCTACCAACTTTGTTAAGTGGAGTATGGTGATTGTCTCTACTGTTACCTATAAATTCAACATTGCTGGCAGCCACACTAGAGTTATGGATGCTAAAAGTGGCCTTAGACAAGGTGACCATATCTCCCCATTAATTTTTTTCATTGTGATGTATTATTTCTATAGAAGTGTGCAAATACTTATGGAGGTTCCTGATTTTAACTTCCATGCCAAATGTGAGAAATTCCAAATCATTGATATAAGCTTTCCTGATGACTTATTGTTATTCTCTCGCGGGCATAATAGGTTTATTAAGTTACTTATGAGGAAAGTGGTGGATTTCTCTAAGACTACTGGCTTACAAGTGAATCCTTCAAAATGCAATATTTTTTATGGTGGAGTGGTGAATGAGGTAAAGATTGTTATTGCTGACATAACTGGTTTTCCTGAAGGTGCCCTCCCTTTCAGGTATCTAGGGATCCCCCTCACTAGTAGGAAGCTGGCCACCATTCACTACATGGGTCCTGTGGATCATATAATGCAGAGAACTAGGCATTGGAGCTCCAAGTTATTAAGTTATGCTGGGAGGATCTAACTTATTAACAACATCATAACTTCCATGACTTTCTACTGGATGCATTGCTTGCCCTTTCCAAAAAAGGTGATTCGTGTTATTGAGGCCATCTGCATATCCTTCCTCTAGACAAGTAAGGATACTATATCTAAAAAGTCCCCGATTTCTTGGAAGGAAGTGTGTAAATCCAGGGTTGGCGGTGGTTTAAATACCATCTCATTAGAGGTCTGGAACAAGACTTGCCTTGCAAAATTATTGTGGAATTTGGGTTGAAAGAAGGATTCCTTGTGGATCAAATGGATTCATATATTCTATTTCAAAGGTGTTGATTTGCAGAATTTCAAGCCTCAATGAGTATGTCTTAGATTGTCAAGAGAGTTCTAAAGTTAAGGGATGTTATGAATAACATGGATGGTTGGGATACCATGACAGTGAAGTTTGCAACAAAAAATGTTTATCAACAGATCATTGGTGTTGGTCCCATCATGAGTTGGAAAGGTTTGTTCAATAGGAGTATTGCTCAACCTAAGGCGTTATTCATGCCCTGGCTAGTGTGACACCCCAAATTTGTTGGAATATTTATTTAATTTATTTAAATACGAGTATTTGTATTTTTGGTGATTTTCGGTGGTTGGTGTAAATATTGGGAATTATGGAGTTTTGAGTTATTTGTGAAGGCAAAGTATCTACCAACACAAGCGTGCCTCTGGTTTTTGATGATGACAACTTGCTAAGAGATATCCTTCTTTCGTTTAAATCATTCACGCTACTTATGATTCAATTTTTACAATGACGTAATGCACAAAAAGCTGTAGAAATTTATGTTTTTGCAGATTTTTGAACCATGAGCCGACCATACCGTCAGCACACAGTTTCATTCAGTTCACACGGGTCAGCGCATGAAGGTCATGCGTCGACCGTTAACTTGGCGCATGCAGGTTTAAGAATCAGACGGCTCAGCGCATGAAGATCATGCGTCGACCGCTGACTCGGCGCATGACAGTTTGAGTGTCACACGGCTCAGCGCACGCCGACCCTATGGTCGACCGTTCGCGCGCAGAAACAGAAATTCTGCTATGTTTCATTGATCTGTCAACTGTCTGTTTTGTATATTACTATAAATAGCTGTCTTTTCAATTTTAACAACTAACATTTTTGAAAGCATTGTGAGAAAGTGTTCAGGTCAAGAAACGTGAAAGAGGTGCATCAGTGTTCTTCATCTTCATCGTTCAATCAACTCACAAATCCTCAAATTACAGATAATCAATTTTTTTTTGCTGCGGTTTGTGGTTTGCTCGACGGTGATAAGGTTCGAACGCGTGATTGAAGATCCGGTTCGAGTGGAAGCTGGTGCAGGTGTTTCTTGGGAGAAAACCTTTGAGGTTTTACCTATCAAGACTACAGGTTTTGAAGGCTTTTGTTACGGAATCGTCGGTTCAACAATCAAGCGAGTGCGAAGGTGATTGATTAGCGGAAGGTTGATCAATCTAGTAGCTAGGGCGTTGAAAGGTTGAAGACGTTCCGGGTTCAATTTGGGTGTGTCTAAGATCAGCCGTGCCGAAGGTTTGATCAACGGAAGAGTTGTCAATAAGGTGGCTGCAATCGGAGGTCATTCACATCAAATTGGAGGACTTGATTCATCTTGAATCAAGGGGCAAGAAGTGGTA